GTCTGCTGCCCAGAGGACACATCTCTCTCTCTCTTTTTTTAAGATTTTATTTATTCATTTGAGAGAGAGAGAGAGAGAGAGCAATCACAAGCAGAGGGAGGGGCAGAGGGAGAGGGAGAAGCAGGTTCCCTGCTGAGCAGGAGCGCCGTGTGCGGGGCTTGATCCCAGGACCCTGAGACCAGGACCCAAGCCGAAGGCAGACACTTAACCGACTGAGCCACCCAGGTGTCACCAGAGGATACATCTCTTGATAGCCTGGCTCTGGTGGCCATTGGGGCTTGTGTTCACAGTTTCAATAGGAAAGAAGCGAAGAAAGAAACAGTTCTCAATGGGCTGGCACCCCAAGGCTCAGCACAGAGGAAGCAGATGGAAACATCCATATTCTCCTGAAAGAGATATATTTGTACATGTTGGGTTTTTAAAAAATATTTATTTATTTATTTATTTATTTATTTATTTATTTATTTATTTATTTATTTATTGAGAGAGAGTGCTGGAGCACAAGCAGGAGTGGCAGGGGCAGAGGGAGAGAGAATCTCAAGCAGACTCTGTGCTGAGTGCTGAGCCTGACGTGGGGCTTGATCTCATGACCCTGAGATCACAACTGGAGCCCAACTGCACCTGGCAGGCGCCCCTATTTGTACATGTTTAAAAGCTGCTGCCTAAGGGTCAGAAACTTCCAATCAGCCTGAATCTAGTGCTGACTGAGATCCTCCTCTTTGGGACACTGACACGTCTTGGCACGTCCTCCAACTACTAGGAACCACTAAAAAGAAAGTAGGCTACTTGGACAATCACCAGAGTTTGAGAGACAACCAAGAGATAGGGCAGTGTCAACTGATAAGTTTCATCTCCCACACGAGGCCACTCGCCAAGACTGGGAGAGGTGGCTGTTTTATCTAATGCAGAAAAACCAACACAGAGAGTCAAGGAACATGAAGAAACAGAGGGATGTGTTCCAGATGAAAGAACAAGACAAAAACCTCAGAAAAAGACCTTAATGAAACAAAGATAAGTGATTTCCCTGATTTGGAGAAGAAAGGATGAACAGAGGGAGAATGCCTTGCTTACTTTCAATGTCAATTTAATGCACATTTGTTGTATAAACACAGGGACCCATAGGCTGGAGGCAGGCAGAATGAAGAACCCTGAAGTAATTATAGGAATACTTAATCAGAGAGAAAATAAGAAACCAAGAGAGAGAGATCTCGAGACACAGTCAGTTTGAAATCACCATTCTCACCCTATAGAGGGTTAAGAGCAGGCAACAGCCTGAAAATCAGTTCTAACATTCAATGTCCTGGACCATGAGAGTGGGAAGGAAGCTTATCACCAAATTCCAGTCCCGTGTGTTGTTTTGTTTTGTGGATATTTTATCCTTTTATTGATTCCACATTGGACAGGTTTTTAAAATTTTAGAGAGGGTAAGACAAAGGATGTATTAGAATTGAGTACCTTTGGGCAAATCTAATTAACATAAATATATTCAAATCATTTGTGCATAGAGTTATGTATGCTATATATATACATATATATACACACACTATATATGTAACTGTAACTCATTCTGGGACACTTAAGGTTTTTCCCACAAGTGCTGTAGATACTTACTTAGTTTTTGTTTTTCTGTAGGAATTTTCTGAATTTGAGGTTTTTAAAAAATACTCCCGTATAATTAACAGTGTTAGATTAGTTTCAGGTGTACATTATAATCATTCAACAATTCTAAACATTACTCAGTGCCCATCATGATAAGTGACCTCTTGTTCCCTGTCACCCATTTCACCCATCCCCCCACCCATCTCCCCTCTGGTAACCATCAGTTTGTTCTATTTTTTGGTATCTTTTTTTCCTTTGTTCATTTGTTTTGTTTCTTAAATTCCACATATGAGTGAAATCGTATGGTATTTGTCTTTCTCTGACTTATTTCACTTAGCATGATACTCTCTAGATCCATTCATGTTGTTGCAAATGACAAGATTTCATTCTTTTTTTTTTTACAGCCAAGTAATATTCCATTGTGTGTGTAAATATTCTATATATATGTATATATACATATCTTCTTTATCCATTTGTCTATTGATGGACACTTGGGCTGCTTCCATATCTTGGCTACTGTAAATAATGCTGCAATAAACATAGGGATGCACATACCTTTTTGAATTAGAAGTAGAATTACTGGATCATAGGGTAGTCTATTTTTAATTTTTTGAGGAACCTTCATGCTGTTCTCCAGTGGCATGCTGTTCTCCATTCCCACCAGCAGTGCACAAGGGTTCCCCTTTCTCCACATCCTTGCCCACACTTGTTTCTTGTGTTTTTTTATTTTAGGTGTTCTGACAGGTGTGCAGTCCCATGTGTCATTTGCCCATACATGAATATGTTTGAAGAAAAGTTTAGGATGTATATCAATGTCTAATAAATTTGAACATACATTTTTGTTGGTATTAAAGGTAGTGAATAGTCAGTCAGTCAAGAGCTTGCTCATTCATTTGAATTAGGTAAACCAAAAAACAGGTTTTAATTTTATAATTAGTAAAATGGCATACATAGTTCAGGGAAACTGACTTAGGACTAGAATTACTGATATGAAAGATACTGGAAGACTCTATCTCTCTTGAAACCAGAATTTTTTTTCTTTATGGCAATTTCTTTCTCTTTAAAGCACATTCTCTTCAAACCAGTTTCCTATGAACCTAATTCAACAGAATGAAAAATGTGTCCTCCCATAGTTGTCAGGCTTGTACTTGATGGGCCTGTCAGTGTGAAAGGTTTTCCACTGCAAATTCTTTTTTTTTTTAAGATTTTATTTATTTATTTGAGAGAGAGAATGAGATAGAGAGAGAACATGAGAGGGGAGAGGGTCAGAGGGAGAAGCAGACTCCCCACTGAGCAGGGAGCCCCATGTGGGACTCGATCCCAGGACTCCAGGATCATGACCTGAGCCGAAGGCAGTCGCCCAACCAACTGAGCCACCCAGGCGCTCATCCACTGCAAATTCTGAGGAAGAGGACATTTATCCCTGAAAAGCCCAGTCTCGTTTTGGATAATGGAGTAGATAACGTTGTAGGGAAAACGGGGCTTCCAAGAACCACTACTGCGGGTCAGGCTGGAGGCAGCAGTTCAAGGAAGGGGTTGTCCCCACTGAGCCTCACAGAGGAACTCACAGAAAATGGTGGAATCAGTTGTCAAGTTCTTGGAAGAAAAGAATTGGGTCACAAGAGAAAGGCACCACCTGTGGGAGCCAGGTCCCACGGGCCCTGTGCCCTTAGCAGGGCCTCTGTGGGCAAGTCTGTGTGGCCCATGCTTCCTCCTTCTGCCGGAAGTGAAATGCACAAAGGTGGAAACCCAGCAGCTGCGCTGGTGCTAAGAGATAGGCCGTGCCCACGGATTCCACGTCCCAAAGTAGACATATAAACATGCCAAGCAGGGCGCCTGGGTGGCTCAGTGGGTTCAGCGTCTGCCTTCAGCTCAGGTCCTGATCCCCAGGTCCTGGGATCGAGCCCCACATCGGGCTCCCTGCTCAGTGGGGAACCTGCTTCTCCCTCTGCCCGCCGCTCCCCTGCTTGTGCTCTCTCGCTCTAATAAATAAATAAAATCTTTTAAAAAAAAGTGCCAAGCTGATTCTCTATGCCGGTGATTTGGAACTTAAAGGATGTCCCACAGAGACTTGAATTTGATGACTGTGAGCGTGTCAGTCAAAACTTCCTAGAGTTCTGACAAGTTCATCAGCTCCTAGAGCGGCCCCAGATCCTGCACTTTCAGTTCCCAGCACCAAAGGAGGTCTTGTGGAACACGTTTAAACAATGGACCCTAACGAGCAAACACTGGGAGGAAGGCCCTCAGCTGCGGGGATCTGGCCCCAGGGAGGAGGCCAAAGTGTGCACACCTGCGGCCTGTTTCTATCAGAGCCGGATGAGCTATGGGTGGAAATCGCCCTGAGTGCTGCAGACGTGGGCCAAGCCTTTAAATTCAAAGCAACGGGAGAGGAGCCTGGATGGAGGTGCAGCCCGTTGAAGATGGAGTTCCACGTGCCTGATGTGCCGCTGTTGAAAATCTTCTCCTTCCTGGACGCATTCAGCTTGCTCCAGGCTTCCCAAGTGAACAGGGTAAATGCTCTCCACAGGCTGCTCTCCGTCGGACCCGCCCCACCCCCCTCCACAAGTCCTCGCACAGACTCCCTTCACTGCAGCGCCTCTGCATCTTGGCGACCCCAGCCTTAGACCCACACAGCCTCCCTCACTGCTTACATTTACCCTGCTCAGGCCCATTCCTTCAGCTCCCATAGGCCCAGGGCCCTGGATTGCAGCTGCCTCTCTTGACCAGGTTGAGCACCGATTCGCGGAATAGCAGAGTGCTGCACTGGGTGTTGGGGAGTTAACATCCCTCGCTCTGAGGCCCTCACATTTTGTTAAGCGAAAAGGACGCTGTGCTGACTACATGGTCCTTGTGACTCCCGTTTCAAGCCCCAGGAAACCCACGTTTCTCCCGCAAGAATTCCGAGTGCCTGTCCTCGCGGCGATGGGCCTCTGCGGTTACTGTGTGCGGGTCTCCCTACACTGGGAGGGCTTTGAGAGCCCGGATGGTGGCTGCTTAACCCATGAGGGCTTTGCTCCCAGAACAAAGGAGAGCAGAGGAGGAGCCAACGTCTGGGTACGGACTGCCTGCTTACCTCTTCCTTTCTCTCCCTCAGTGCTGGAATAGCGTTGCAGAGAATGATCAGCTGTGGAGGTGAGCAAGGGAAGGGTAAGGTGGGAAGGCCCGTGTTTCTCACGGGAGGAAGAGGACATCCGAGTGTGTACCAAGGCGGCCTGTGTGGGGCTGCGCTGGGAGAGGCACAAGTGAGAGGCACCCTTACGGTGAGGAAAGGGTCCATGAGACCAGTGCTACTGAGGAGGAGAACTGACCAGGGGCAGCCTGGGGGGCTGATGACTCTGTTTCCAGAAACCTGTGTCTGAGGAAATGGAGCTTCTGCAACTTCTCCCTGTGCCTGGGCTCACAGACCTGGAAGCAGTTTTTCCTCAAACAAACAAGGCTGGAGTACCGGATGGCATCGGTAAAGCCAGAGGACTTCATCTTCAAAGAAGCAAGTGGGAACCTTGGTACGGGGATAGGGGTCCCCTAGAGGAACATGACAAACGAGTTTTAAGAAACTTTTTTTTTTTTTCCTGTGTCTTCATTCAGTGAAGAGAAAGAAAATGAAAGCGTAGTGGGACTGGGTTGCTGTGGTAGCGGTCATGGTCTCCCTGCGTCTTCTCTTGTCCCCCACGGTCTGTGGTGCATGGAGAGACCAGAGTGATCTTTTCATGAGCTAAAATCAGGCCCCATGACTCCCTTTCTCCAAAGGCTTCCTGTCCCTCCTAGAATAAAAATGTTAAACAAAAGGGAAACTTAACAGAGCTTCTACCATTCACTCTATTCCTAGTATCTCTTTTAAAACTCAGAACAGTTCTCTGATGGAGACCTCTTTATCCCCATTTTATGGATGGGGATTATGTATGTATATATTTATGTAAGGAAACTGAAACAAAGGAGGAAAAACAAGTCGGCCAGTGTCTCCCAAATGACCAATCTGCAATGGGAACCCACGTTTGGATGACTCTGGAGCCAGCCTCTTCTCTTCTCCATAATTGTTTCCCAAACCCTCCTAAGAGGTGCAGGAAAACTTAGTTATCTTTCCAGAGTCCTCTTTATTCGATTGGATCATCCCTCAATTATCTGGTGGCCCAGTATTGTCTGTTTCCTTCTAGGAATCTTAGGACCTATGGCTTATCTGTCAGGACATGGCCACACAATGGGTAGACAGGAGAAGTCAGTCATTTGTACGGTGTCGTCAAAGCACATGCTTTATGCCTGGGACGTGCAGGAGGTGAGTCTGGCCAGTGAGGAGCACAAATAAAGCCTCGCTCTGTCCATCCTCTTCCACACAGGCAGCAAGTGCTGGGGGGAAATGCTACTTGAAATTGATGACAGAAATGGAGTTTCGAATCGAGTCTTCTAATTGGTAAACTGTGACCTTTCCATTTAGACTGTAGACACACAGAAAATTCACTTTTTAATGTGGTTTTTTTTTTCAGATTTTATTTATTTGTCAGAGAGTGCACGCACACACAAGCAGGGGGAGAAGCAGACTCCCCACTGAGCAGGGAGGCCGATGCGGGACTCGATCCCAGGACTCCAGGATCATGACCTGGGCCAAAGGCAGTCGCTTAACCAACTGAGCCACCCAGGCATCCCTAACATGTATTTCTGTATATAAATTTGTACAAGGACTTATTTTCTATTGGTAACGTGGAATGGCTGTGAAATACACTTTGGGTGTTGTGCATCTTCATGACCTATTCTACCGCCTCTCCGTCAACTGTTGGCATTTGTTACATTGACTTTTTCGGGAAGTGGTCTCTAACTCTGATCACTTCCAAGGCGGACAAAGGTCTTCTACATCAGGACCAGTATATGTAGTGCAAGAATCGCTAGATAGGAAATTGGAAGACCCCAAAGTGGGCCCCAAGTTATTGTATTTTCTTGGCTTTCCCTGTTTGGATTTTTCTCCTCTCCCTGTCAAAAGTATATAATGACACTTTTTCACACAGGGTCTTCTGAAGAAAACCCTTTATGAATATATGAGTTGGCAGGAGAATGATGAAATAAAAGTCTAGAAGGGACTCCTAAAGTTATACAATGCTTTTTAAAAAAGATTTTATTTACTTGACAGAAGAGAGCACAAGCAGGGGGAGGGACAGAGGGAGAGGAGAAGCAGGTTCCCCACTGAGCAAGGAGCCCAATGCAGGACTCGATCCCAGGACCCTGGGATCATGACATGAGCTGAAGGCAGACACTTAACCCACTGAGCCACCCAGGTGCCCCTAAAGTTATACAGTGTTATATGTCAATTACATTTCACTAAAGCTGAGAAAATCAGAAAGGTACTTTCTTGGATAATTTGCTCTAGGGGAAACCAGTCACCATGTCCCTGAGGACATCCAAGCAGCCCAGTGGATGACCTACTTGGCAAAGATCTCAGGCCTTCTGCCACCAGCCAACACCATCTTTGCAGTCATGTGAGTGAACCACCTTGGAAGCTAACCTTCTGTCCTTCAGATTATTGTGTCTCCAGTCAACATGCTGCAACCTAGTGAGGAACCCAAAACCAGAGCCACTCAAGGAATCCCCTCCTGAATTTTGGACCAACAGAAGCTGTGTGAGATAAGTGTTTATTGCTTTGAGCTGCTATGGCATTTGTTAGGCAGCAACAGATAACAGTTTTTAGTACAGCTTTTCTTAAAATTTAAGATGTGGAAGCAGCTTTGGAACCAGGCAGGGGGAAGAAGCTAGAAAAACTCAGGAGAGTTTGGGACTTTGAGGAGACCTAGCAAAAACCTAGTGGCCTGCCATGAGGATGCCAGTGAAGACTTAAAGGGAAATGTAAACAAAGATATTGGACACTGGAGGAAACAATGTTCTTGTTACAGAGCTGCAGAAATTTTTAACAACATTGTCACCCCAGGTAATGAGAAAACTAGTGAACATATCCAAGGAACTGAGTGTTCTTATTAAGGAGAATTCCAGGCGGAATGCTGAGTGCTGACTGCTGCTTGCTGTTTGTAGTAAAACGAGAGAAGAGGGGAGGATACAATGACTGTCAGAGAAAAGAGAGCCAAGGATTGCTGGTTCCGAAAAGTTGCAGCCTTTCAGAGGGCAAATGATGCTAAAATTTAAGATGTAGACTCTAAGCAAGATCAATCCAAGGCAGTGTCAATAAACCATATTATAAAGGTGAAGCCAAAGAGCGACTGCAAAATTCTTTATTAGACCACAGAAAGATCTAAGGGGGTGCCTCAGAACTGAGGTCAAGCAATGGACCTCAAAGTTTAAAGCCTTGTCCTCACCAGCCCCAGCAGCAGCCCAGGATGTCAGGGGATTTATCTCAAAGACTTGTGGGTGCAGCTCTTGTCTAATGACATCAACTTCAAGTTTCTTGGGAGACCCACAAAGTTTTTTCAGGGAACCATATTGGCAGAAATGCCGCCAGCTTGAATGTTAAGGGGTTGAAATATCACAACAGGAAAAGAGGCCTTTGAATCCCAAACTTTTGTAGGGAAGAAGCAGCCTGTGAAACTACTCAGCTATGGAATTGGGCCACCGTATATGGACAGGGCAGGATAACTCAGAAGGCAGAACCCAGAGCCAGTGAGTGGAGGCACGAGTCCTGAAGAATCTTTCCCAGGCCTTGAATCCTGATCAACATACTACCACCATGTTCTCTGTTGGAGCTCAAATTTTCTGTGTAGCACTGACTCCCGCTTTTCTACCACCATTTTCCTTTTTTTTTTTGAATGAGAGTGTCTGTAATGTTATCCTTATCTGTGCTATAATCTCCTAGCCTTCTATTTTGGGGATAGGGGTCAGACAACTTGTATATTTAGTTCTGAGGTTTTCACATCAAGATGAGCTGAATCTAAAGAGCCTCATTGCATTAAATGATGAGATCCTAGATTTTCAGATGATGCTGTAATGGTGAGACATTTGGGGGCATGGGACATGGCGAGTGTATTTTGCATGTGGGAGGGAGGTGAGTTATTAGGGACTGCAGGGTGGAGTGTGTCAGCCAGTCTGGAAGATGGCCTCAGTATTCCTTGTCCCATGTTCATGATCCTAGGTAGTCCACTGGACATTGTCACCAACTGGACATTGTGGAAATGATGGTGTGTAACTTCTGAAGATATGTCATAAAAGACACTTCCTCTCTCTTGAGTCATTGGCTCCTAGAAAGCCAGCCACAGTGTTATGAGGACCCTTAAGAAGCCCTACAGGGAAGGTCTGTGTGGTGAAGTACTGAGGGCTGCCGGTAGCCAGCACCAACTTGCCAGCCTTATGAGTCAGCCATCTTGGACTCATCCTTATGAAGCCAACTTCAACCTCGTAAGAGACCCTGAGCCACAAACCACCTAGCCAAGCAGCACCTGAATTTCTAACAGAAACTGAGATAACAAAAACTTCTCTTTTAACCACCCAGTTTTTATAGAGAGGGTTTATTTTTATTTTTATTTTTTGAAGATTTTATTTACTTATTTGACAGAAAAATAGCGAGAGCAGGAACACAAACAGGGGGAGTGGGAGAGGGAGAAGCAAGCTTCCTGCCGAGCAGGGAGCCCGATGCAGGGCTCAATCCCAGGAGTCTGGGATCATGACCTGAGCCAAAGGCAGACGCCTGACCATCTGAGCCACCCAGGTGCCCCTGGAGAGGGTTTATTTTTATTTATTTTGCTTATTTAAAGAAAAATTCCAGTGTAGTTAACATACAGCATTATATTAGCTTCAGGTGTACAATATAGTGATTCAGCAATTCTGTACATCACCTGGTGCTCATCATGACACGTGCACTCCTTAATCCCCATCACCTGTTTCCCCCATCTCCCACCCCCACCTCTGGTAACTTCTCTATAGTTAAGAGTTTGTTTTTTGGTTTGTCTCTTTTCTGTTTGTTTCTTCCACATATGAGTGAAATCCTGTGGTATTTGTCTTTCTCTATTTCACTTAGCATTATACCCTCTAGATCCATCCATGTTGTTGCAACTGGCAAGATTTCATTCTTTTTCATGGCCAAGTAGTATTCCATTGTGTGGGTGTGGATGTGTGTGTGGGTGAGGACACCCCCCACACACACACACACATCAATCTTCTTTATCCATTCATCTATCGATGGACCCTTGGGTTGCTTCTGTATCTTGGCTATTGTAAATAATGCTGCAATGAACATAAGGATGCATATATCTTTTCAAATTAGTGTTTTCCTTTTTTTCAGCCAAATACCCAGTAGAGGACTTGCTGGGCCATGTGGTAGTTCTGTTTTTAATTTTTTGATGAACTTTCCTACTGTTTTCCACAGCAGCTGCCCCAGTTTGCATCCCCACCAACAGGGCACAAGTGTTCCTCTTACTCTGCACCCTTGCGGACACTTGTTGGTCGTTGCATTTTTTATTTTAGCCATTCTGACAGGTGTGAGGTGATTTTAAGCCACCCAATTTGGGGATGATTTATTGCACAGCAATAGATAACACTACACAGGCAACCTGAGTGTTACAAATCAAAATGGTGATTACATTTGGGGATTGTGCAGATGTTAATAGAGCAAGTGCTACAAGTGGGCTTAGAAGTAGTTATGATCAATTTATAATAACTAAAATTTTACATTTATTTTGTGTTCTTTTCTCTTCGTATGATATACTTCACAATTTTTTAAAGGCTAAAGAAAATCTAGAAGGGAAACTTTCTTCTGTCTTATTTGCAATGTACAAAATTGATGGAATAACAATTATGAGCATTGATATTCTTTGAATTCCTACTGTGGACAAGGCAGAATTTTTTTTTTTTTAAGATTTAGTTATTTATTTGGGAGGGAAGGGAGAAGGAGACAGAAATCCAAGCAAACTCCGTACTGAGCATGGAGCCCGATGTGGGACTCAATCTCACAATCCTGAGATTATGACCTGAGCCAAAACCCAGTTAGATGCCTAACTGGCTACACCACCCAGGCGTCCCTAGGCAGAATTCTAAGAATGTTTCATGTGCTGTGAAATGTAATATGACAGCCCTGTAAGAAGCCACAATGGTAAGTAACTTGCTGAATGTAACACTGTTAGTCAGAGGCAGAACTGACTTGAGCCCAGAAGCGTGATCATTCTTTATGCTCATCACATAGTGAGATCTTGTCTTTGAATATACTGCATTGTTTCTTTTCTGCGTTCAGTACCCCTCCAATAATCGAGATGTTTAGAATTCTCTTACTCTTTTCCCAGAAGCGAGAAATGGATCTGATTTGGAGGAGTCTTCCAAAAAAACACTGGCCGAAAGAAAGCCCAGTAGGTGTGCAGAGTTCCTTACACACCGACAGTGTTCCTTTCATTTTCTAGGGCACTATGATCTGGTCCAGCCCAGTCCAGCAGTCTAGTATCGTGCGTCTGGCAACCCTCCCTCAGCTGCATCTTGCATTCACTGCGGATTTGGAGGGAACTGTCAAAGTGTGGAATTGTCAAGATGAGGATGCCCTGGCTACTCTCACCATGCCTCGGGCCTGTTTTTCCTTGGAAAGCTGTCTCACAAATGATGGCCCATTCCTGATGGTAAGTGAGCCCTTCACCTAGAGAGGGCCCACAAAACAAAATGCCTGCTGCCTTGACAGGCATTGTGACCCCCATGACTGTCACATCACTGTCTATCTTCTTCGAGTCATCGCTACCACATACCCTGAGAGTCCGAACATATCCACGAATGTTGGCCATACAAACCTCACTACCATCTTGGCCCTTGATCTACCACAAGTACGTTTCCCTAGTCATTCTTCCAGCAAAGAAAAAAAAAAAAAGCCTCCCTGAATGATTTCCTATCTATATCTCTTCTTTCAAGTGTGTATTGTATAGTACTTGACCTTGGACAGGGATTAGGGAGAGCGAGCTGTGGGTTTGGGAAGACACTGAGAAAAGAACAGTGTTGATGTGCTATGAATAACTATGCTGGAGAAGAGTGCTTTGGGGCTTAGAAAGTTTTATTCCTTGGGATCATTCTCACAACGCTGAGGCAGCTTTTCATCTCCATTATGGGATTGAAGAAACCATAGTATGTTTTACAGCTGACAATCAATCCTGCTTTCTGTGTGCTCTAGGATTTCCTGTCTCTTTCCATTGACGTGGTGGTGGTGTTTGGTTTCAGGTAGGCAACTCTGAAGGTGACATCTACACACTGACAGTGCCTGAGCTAAGGGGTATCTCTAAAGTCAGTGCATTTAAATATAGTGTTGACCTCCTACACTGCTCTCCCGACAAGAAATGGATCTTTGCATCTGGGACACATCAGAATATCTTGCCAGTGGTAGGTGTTGCTCTGTGCTTTAACTTTGGGAGCAGAGGGTCAAGCATTAGGAAGGTGGGGTTTAGGAAGTGTTGGAGAAGCTGAAGAACTCAGGGAGGACCACACATAATGCTCCCTCCTCTCAAAGGCCATATTGCATGTAGAATCCATTTTTGTAGCCAAGAAAAAATGTTCTGGGATTTCTGGGTGGTTCAGTCAGTTGAGTGTCTGCCTTCAGCTCAGGTCATGATCCCGGGGTCCTGGGATCAAGTCCTGCATCGGGCTTCCTGCTCAGCAGGGAGCCTGCTTTCCCCTCTACCTGCCACTTACCCCTGCTTGTGGTGGCATGTCCCCCCTCTCTCTGACAAATAATATCTTAAAAAAAAGGAAAAAAGAAACAGTGTTCTTTGAAGTGATAGTGTCAAGTTGCAAGAAAAAAAAGTTTATTAAGGAAAATTTCCTCATGAAGCCTGAATCAGCCAAAGAGCTAGAGGAAGGTGAGAGAGGTCTCAGGAAAGGAGGATCTTTGGTAACCTTGTTCATTTTAGCTTTCCTTGCTTTACTTTTATCCACCTTGGCTGGAAGGGACAAAGAAGTCCAGAAGTAACTAAGAACGTATCAGCCTCCGAATGTCCCTCTGAGAAAGTTTGCGGCCATTGAGTCTGCCATTTTTACTACGTGGCTCGTGCGGACCGCACACCAGGGAGCAAGGCGCTGAGAGGATGCAGCGAAAGCCGACCCGCGCTAGACGAGTTCCCCAAGCAGGGAAAAATTTGTCCACCCAATGGCAGCTTGATCTGGGCTCCAGTGTGGCCAGACAGTTTTATAACCCCTGGGAGTGCCAGAAGAGCAGCTTTGGGGTCTTTGCTCCCTGCATGACCGTGCCAGGCAGGAGAGGAAGACGGTCCTTGGATGTCAGATGACAAGCAGGGACTACTTAATGCTCCCTGAGATTCAGAGTAAAGCTTTGGCCACAAAACAAGCCTTTTTTTTTTTTTTTTTTTTTTAAAGTAGGCTCCATGCCCAGTGTAGGGCTTGAACTCCTGACCCTGAGATCAAGAGTCACATGCTCTACCGACTGAGCCAGACAGGCACCCCCACAAAACAAGGACTTTTAAGGAGGCTTTTCTGGAGTCACTCCTGCCCTGACATGCTATAACTTCTCCCTTCACCTGACTACATGTGCAAAATCTCTCCCCAGGTGTTTCTCACAGAGAGCTTACTGAAACCGTCAGAAGGCAAAAGCCCTCTGTCGCTCTCCATCCCATTTCCATCCTGCTGCAGAGCCTGCTGGGCCCCAAGGAGGACAGGCAGAATAACAGTGATGTACCGAAGAGGCTCTTTCAAAAAGACAGGATTTACCACCTTTGAGCTAATGGCTGAGAGGACGGGGGACAGAACAGACATCCAAGGTAGGCTGTGCCCCATCAGAGACATGGTTTCTAGTCCCTTCCGTGTGTGCATTCTTTGGGAGCCCTAACTCTGTGGTAAGGGGGCAGAGGGTTTCTTTAGCTGGAGGGGATTTCTTTACCCCAGGCCTGCCTGCCTCTCATACCCATGCTCTGACCTCTACTATGCTCCACCCCACTCTTGGGCAGGTCTGTTCAGATTCCCACCCTGCTTTAGGGCCTGGATCCCAGTGCCTCCTCCATGCCTGAGCTGTTACCGTCCACCGCCCCCGGTTCCTGGGTCTGGGCACCCATCACCGTGGTCGGTGACATTTGTTTGTCACTGGCCTGCCCTTCGTTTTCCTCACCAGACTGAGGTCCCCTGAAAGGAGCGAGTGTGTTTTTTCATTCCATGTAAAGCCAGTATGCGGACTGAAGGATCCCCAGCTTGCCTGCACGTGTATGTTTTGCATGAAAACAGCCCATCAGATTGCAACTTTCCTGTTGCCGCTTCATATGGAGAGTCCTATTTGGATGGGAGTCGGAGATGGAAATATGATTGTCTTTGAGAGTGGGCCGTCCCTATTCCTCTTCACCATCAGTGGCCACCTGCTGCAACGATTTGAGGACCACCAGAGGACCATCGGCAACTTATGGGTGGTAGGTGTGAGCCTCCTCCGCCCACCGCTCATGGCTCTGACTCTGGGCCGCTCATCCCAGGTATCCTTTGAAGGATTCTGTGCACGTCCTCACCACATCCATGGATGATTCTCTGCACCTGTACATGTGGGAAGAGGAAGGCCGTTATCCATACCTCAGGAGCTGCTGTCACCTGGAGCACCTAGGGAGCGACCCAGCACCGAGCTGGTAAGCCCTGCCTTGTGACTTACCTTGCCTTAAAGATTTCAACTTTTGATATAAAAAAATGAAGGGATAATAAGGGAGGTTTATAAAAAGAGTTTCTGAGGATGTATTTAAATAAACTTATGTCCAGAAAGAGAATTGCTAATTCTTGGCATGTGTTCACAGTCCTTGCAGTACATTTCAAAAGGCTTTCCAAAAGGGCTCCCATTTGCTTGCCCACAGCAGAATATGCGACATTTATATCCTCAATACCTGTCTTTTCTTGCAAGGTTTATACCTTTTTTGAGTTCGTTCGTCATTTGGGTTTTTTTTTTTTTTTTTTTTAAGATTTATTTGTCTGAGAGAGAGAGCGAGCACGAGCAGGGGGCAGAGGCAGAGGGAGAAGCAGGCTCCCCGCTGAGCAGGGAGCCCAATGTGGGGCTCGATTCCAGGACTCTGGGTCACAACCTGAGCTGAAGGCAGACGCTTAACCGACTGAGCCACCCAGGCGCCCCTGGGGCGCTTCTTTAGCGAGCTGTCTTTATCTCCTTTTTAGTTTTCTTGTAGATTGCTTGCCTTCATCTAAATTGTTTTTCTTGAGATTTTACATACCATACATAGAGGTCTTGTCTTTTATATACATTGTTGCTTGTCCTTATGTTTATCTTTGGTAATATCTAACAAAGCACAAATACATGTATTCTTCCAACTGCAGTACCACTAGCAGGAGTTTACTTTGGATTAGAAATCCACCTGTTGTTTATTGCAACAGGAGTTGTGATTGCCAAATGCTAGAAACTAACTGCCCAAACATAAGAGATTGTTTAAATTACTATGGCATATCCACATCATGGAGTATTGTGCAGCCGTAATTTAAATCTCTATGTTCAGATAAAATTTTCCAGTGTTTTTGAGGCAAAAAAATTTTAATCATATATAATTGATATATAATTATGCCTAACAGATTTTATTTTTTTCTCTGTATCATAGCTAATTAATCTTAGCCTACTCTGAGTCAGAAATGCTTTTCTCCTTTCAATAATTTAAAAAAAATTTTTAAATTTATTTATTTGAGAGAGAGAGAGAATGAATGGGGGGGCAGAGGAGAGAGCGAGAGAGAAGGAAGTAGACTCCCCACTGAGCGGGGAGCCAGGCGGGAAGCTCAATCTTGACCCTGAGATCACCACCTGAGCTGAAATCGAGAGCCAGGACACTTGACCGACTGAGCCCCTGCAAGCTCCTCTCAATAATTTTAAATACTTCCCCTTCATATCACATGTTCCATACCGTGTAGCATTATGTCTTTTATCCATCTAATTTTTTTAACAATGCAAAGAAATTTTTACGTCTTCCCCAAATAGAGTCCAGTTGTCCAACACAGTTTGAGTTTTGGCAAAAACGTAAGGTCTTTTAATCAGAAGTACAATCAAACCACAGAATATTTCCATCATCCCCAGTTTTCTTAGGCTCCATTGTAGGCTGTCCCTTCTTCCATCCCCAGCACCAGGCAACCACTGATCTGTTTTCTGTCCCTATTAATTAGTTACATTTTCTAAACTTTTATGTAAATGGGATTACATAGTATATATTCCTTTGTGTGTCTCGCTTCTTTCAGTGAACGTGGTGGTTTTGAGATTCACCCTTGCTGGGTTTATCAGGAATTCACTCCCTTTTGTGGTTGAGTGGTTAGTGTGCGGTTGTACGGATGGACCACAGTTCATCACCTCACCAGCTGAGGGTCATTTATGTTGTTTCTAGCTTGGGATGAACATGTTTTCATATTTACCTAAGAGCGGAACTGTCGGGTCATATGGTATGTTTGACTTTATAAGAAACTGCAAAACTCCTAGGGGGCTGTACGTCTTCGCATTCCCACTTGGTATTGTTCCAGTTTTGTTTTATTTATTTTACATTCCAATAGGTGTATAGTGTGCTCTCATTATAGTTGTGTATTTCCCTAATGATGTCAAGCAGCTTTTCATTTGCTTTTTTGCAATCCAGATACCTTCTTTGGTGAAGCATTGGTTCAAATCTTTTGTACAGTATTTAGTTGGGTTGTTTATTAATAGCGAGTTTTCATAGTTCTTTATATATTTGGAATATAAATTTTTTATCAGATAAGGATTTGCAAATATTTTCTCCCACTTTGTGGTTTGTCTTTCTACTCTAACACTGTCTTTCATCGAGCAGGTGTTCTTAATTTTTTTTTAAAGATTTTATTTATTTATTTGACAGAGAGAGACAGCAAGAGAGGGAACACAAGCAGGGGGAGTGGGAGAGGGAGAAGCAGGCTTCCCACTGAGCAGGGAGCCCGATGTAGAGCTCGATCCCAGGACCCTGGGATCATGATCTGAGCCGAAGGCAGACGCTTAAAGACTGAGGCGCCCAGGCACCCCAGGTGTTCTTAATTTTGATGAATCTCCAATTTTTCTTCTAAAATGATTGGGCTCTGGATGTTGTATCTAAGAAATCTTTGCCTATCCCAAGGTCACTAAGGTTTTCCCCTTTGTTTTTGTCAAAACTGTATAGTTTGTATATTTGTATAGTCCTGGTTTGCTAAGGGTTTTTATCATCAATAGATGTTTAATTTTGCCAATGCTTTTCCTGCATCAATTACTAGAGCATATGTTTCCTTTTTAGATTGTTAATAAGACAAATTACAGTGATTTTTTTTTTTAAGATTTTGATTAGAGAAAGAGAGAGAGCGTGTGCATGAGCAGGGGGAGGGTTAGAGGGAGAGGGAGAAGCAGACTCCCTGCTGAGCAGGGAGCCCAAGGCAGTGCTCGGATCCCAGAACCCTGGGATCATGACCTAAGCCGAAGGCAGTCACTTAACTGACTGAGCCACCCAGGCGCCCCATAACTATGAATTCTTTGGTTTTATTTATTTTTTTTAAAGATTCTATTTATTTGAGAGCGTGCGTGCATGAGTGCATGTGAGAGAGAGAGCGTGCGTGCATGCGCGCACTTCCTGCCAAGCAGGGAGCCCAACTCAGGACTGGATCCCAGGACCCTGAGCCAAAGGTAGATGCTCAACCGACTGAGCCACCCCTTTGCCTCTCTTTGTCAGTCTTTTGGAGGTTTATCAATTTTATCTTTTCAAAGAAATAGCTTTTCTTTTGTCTTTTTTTTTTCTCAGTTTCATCTCTGCTCTCTTATTTTCCTCCTTCCTGCTTTGGTTAATTTTGTTCTCTAATTTTTGAGGTGGAAGCTTAGATTATTGCTTTGACATTTTTTTTTTTTTTTTTTTAGATTTATTTGAGAGAGAGTGCATGAGTGAGCCATGGGAGGGGCAGAGGGGGAAAAAGAGAATCTCAAGCAGACCCCCTGCTGAGTGTGGAGCCCTACACAGGCCTGAGATCACAACCAGAGCCGAAACCAAGAGTTGGTCACCCAGGAGTCCCAAGACCTCTCTTTTTAAATAATAGCATTTGATGCTCCAAATTCCTCACCAAGCACTGCTTTGGCTGCAACTTTCGAAATTCAACTGACTGGATTTTCATTTTCACTCAGTTCCATATACTTTTTAAATTCCCTTTCCCCCTTGACCCATGGATTTACTATTTATTTTCTAGTTTTTATTCAAATTCCAGTTTGAATATATATATTGTAATATATGTAATGTTTAATGTAATATTAGTTTCAGGAGTGAAGACCCATGGATTATTCAAAAGTATGTTTATTTTTCAAGTGTTTGGATATTTTATTGCTATCTTTTTGATTTCTAGGTTGAATCAATTAAAGAGAGCATACTCCATATGTTTTTTTTCTTCTATGTCTGTCGAACTTTGCTTTATGACCCAGGGTATAGTGTATGTTAGTGAATGTTTGATGTGTGTCTGAAAAGAATGTGTACCCTGCTCTTGTTGGGTGGAATGTTTTGTAATTGACGTCGGCATCACCTTGTTGATTATCTGTTTCAGTTCCTCCATACTCTTTCTGATTTTTGATCTAGTGGTTCTATCAATTATGAGAGAAGATTGTTGAATTTTCTGACTATAAATGTGGATCGATCTTTTTCCTTTAAATTCTATCAGTTTTTATTTTATGTATTTTGCAGCTCTGTTATTTGGTACATATACATTTAGTATTATTATGTCTTCTTGGTTAGTTGGCCCTCTTACATTTGTGTAATAACCCTCCTTGGCCTTGGCAATTTTCTTTGCTCTGAGGTCTACTTTACCTGTTATTAATTTAGCTACTCCTGTTCTCTCTTGATTGATGTTTGTGACCTTGTTTTCCTCCACCTTACTGCAGGGAGGAAATGGTCAACGGGGCTCTACCTCGGTCTTTGCAGGGGAGAGGTAAAGGTACCACCTTTGCTTGGGTTAGTGCAAGGCAGGGATGGTCAACAGAACTCTATCCCCACTGTTTCTGGACTCCTGGAGAAGAGGGGTAGGAGTATCACCTCATTAATACAGGATAAGAATGGTTGACAGGGCCATGCCCCACAATCTCTACATCACCCCCATGGGGAGGGAGGCATGGCCTCTTAGTATTCTCCTGGAAGAGGGCAGGTATAATCAAAGGGAACAGAATTCTATTTTAAAATGAAAATATTCTCTCTCAGGGGACCTGGGTGCCTCAGTCGGTTAAGCATCTGCCTGCAGCTCAGGTCATGATCTTGGGGTCCTGGGATCGAGTCCCGCAACAGGCACCCTGCTCAGCAGGGAGTCTGCTTCTCCCTCTCCCTCTGCCCCTCCCCCTTCTCGTGTCTTGCTAGCACTCTCTCTAATGAATAAAAAAAAATCTTTAAAAAATATTCTCTCTCATCATTATTAAATAACATCTCTGATTTGCTAGGTTATCTTGAGAATTCCGGCAGGTGCTATCTCAGAGCAGGTTGGGATTGCTACTCTTGCAGTTAATAATCAGCATAACTGTGTCAGATCTGTGCAGTCAAAACCAAGTCTAAGAATAACTTCAGTGATCAAAGGACCAATTCGTTTGGGAAGAATATTCATATCTTTGTCAGGTTCAAATTTAGTATTATCAACAATGAATATAATTACTTTGCCATTTGTCCACTGATGATCTTGTTTTTTCTGTTGGCAGCTACGTCTCCAAAGCAATATGTGATGATATGAGCATAGTATGTGTGGTGTCCAGAATTCGTGAATCCAGCATTCTGGTGATGTATTCTTTGCATATGTAATGTGGAAACTGATGGAATTAACCTTGCATCATCTCCCTGAATGTAGTAAAGAGAATTCTATTCGCAAACCCAGAATGATTGTTTTAGTGATATTAGGAAAGAAGCAATGATTTAACTACCTATAGTAAATCAGACACTGTAACAGACAGTACAGATCCGGCACTATACAGATAGAAGGCAGAGCAACATATCCTTTGTCCTTGCCAGCAGGGTGAGTATAGAATACTAAGGGAGTAAAATATAACTGGGCGCAGATCAATTCAAAGGGAGCCTATATCGGGGGAAAGCATGACTTCAGACTGAGGCTGGTTTAAAGGGGGCACCCGGCTCAGTAGGGCATGCAACTTTTTTTTTTTAAGATTTTATTTATTTGACAGAGCGAGTGAGTGCACAGAGGGAGCAGCAAAGGGAGAGCGAGAAACAGACTCCCCACTGAGCAGGGAGCCCAATGTGGGGCTCGATCCCAGGACTCTGGGATCACAATCTGAGCCGAAGATCTGTTTGACTGAGCCACCCAGGCACCCGAGCATGCAACTCTTGATCTCAGGGTTGTGAGTTTGAGCCCTATGTTGGGCGTGGAGCCTACTTGAAAAAAAATTGTAAAAGTGAAGGTCATCTGTATTAGTGTCCTCTAAAATGCAAGCAAAACCTAAATGTGTTAGAAAAACATAGACGTTAATATTTAACGGCGGCTGGAAGTGACTCAGAATATAGATGGTAATAAAAAAATGCCAAAGAGGACTAGGAAATAGGACATACAGCAAAAGCTAAATCACATGGAACTTTCAATCTGCCTATTATCACAGCCACTGTAGCGGACATGATAAAGTACTGCCCCCTAAGTTTATCACTGGTTCAGGATCCGAAGTTTGGGGACAGAGTACTAATACATCAAGCCTGAGCCCCATGGGTGTGCTGTCCTGGCTGTGAGAGGGGGACACCGTACTCTCATGAGAATGTAATCTCAATGGGGGATTTCTCCAAGCAGCAGTGGGGGTTTCTGGGCTGTTAAAGTGCCCACCATTCCCTCTTCCTCAAAATAAACTTGAAGCTGTGACCAGGAGGATAAAGGAAAGGAAGTCAATGGAGGGTGGCTGGAGATGGACAAGGCTGGGTGGAGAAGCTGACAGGAGATGCCTTGTACACGGCACCTGGCAGTTCTGGGACAGTCGCATGTTTGGCTTCGGTCCGAAGCAAAGTCCGCGAGGAGGAATACACACTAACATGGGGTGCAAAGTCAGGAAGTGTCAAGTCACACAGCTGCAGGATCTAACCCAAATGTTTCCTTTTTTAACAAAGGAGAAAAAAAGACCTATATTTTATAGATCTATGTTTTTTTAAAAAGTGAGTTAAAAGTAGCCCTAGCGTACACCTGTAATGAGTATCATGTCCTATGCCAAGTTTACCTCCGTTAAAAAAATGTAGCCATCGTGGCTAAGGAAAGCCCGTGAGGCTGTTTTCTTTATTCGAATCTGTTATAAAGGGAGTATGTGGCAGAGGACATGGAGGTGGAAGTGAGATAGAGGCAAAAATCTGTGGACCATGTGTGCATGAGCACAAAGGATGTAGTTTGTCAGAGGAAACGGGAGTAAACAGGATCCCACAGCGCCTGTGATTTGTGAATGACTTAGAGACAAAACTGAATTGCTGTTGGGCTTTCATTTTCCAGGAAAAGGTGGTCAAGATAGGCAGAGAAAACTTTCTACACACAGCACCAAACGTTGTTCAAAACTGCAAATGCAAAAGAAAACCTTAAAATCTATGGTGAAGGGGGCCGGAATTGAAGAGAAACCCTCTAAGCTGGGAATGAAGAAAAAGGGTGAATCCAGAAAAGTCAAGAAATGCTGCATGCCTTATTCATAGGATTTTACAGGACTCCACAGTGGAACACAGGGCCCCTGCCAAAGTAGAAGTCAGTTCACAGCTCTGCAAGGTCTGGGACCCTCAGAAAAGTAACAGTCCTTTCCTTGTAGGTTAACTGAAGGGAAGTCTACCCATTGGAGAAGGATGATGGGGAGAGCTGCCTCTCTCAGCTTCAGGTATGGGTGGACTAAAAACGGAGAAACCATTCCCTCCAGAGAATTCCTAACCATAACCATACTCTCCTTGGAGGTGGAGTTGACATCAGTCAAGGTCCCAAGACTAGACAGAGGTCACACACATTAAGGTAATTTGGCCAACGTTTAATAAAGGAACCACTCTAATTTGGGTTTGTGGCGGAACGAATTCAAGAAGCCACAGAAATAATACACCTAGGGGCATTTTAGCCCCTCCCTTTTGTAAACATCCCTACGGGGTGCTGGCAGTCCACTATTGACCTATGCTCGCTAATCCAGGCCAGGTTTTGTTTCTGTCTCAGCCACAGGAAGCTGGGGGGTGGGGCACGGGCACCAGCTGCTGGGAAGAGTTAATCTTCCCCTACCTGTACCCAGAGGGTGCTGGCCTAGCCTAGCTGACTTAGTTACTGAAGGGGTACTGACTCCCCCCGCCCCACCTCTTCTTTCAGTGCCCTGGGCTGGCCCGTGTTAAAAGCCACCGCTACTAGGTGGGGGCTTATTATAGCTACAGAGAACTAAACAGGGCTATTCCTCTAATTAGAACACCTCTACTAGATATCACTGCTTGAACGGATACATTCAAGTGGTCCATAGATTTGACTAACACGGTTCTATTGAGTAAAGACTTTACCAGAGAGAGGGAGGCATCCTTTCCAGCACCCGTGTACTTTGCTCTGCTATAAGCACTGGAGCCAAGTGGACCTGCCCCTGACACCCAGGAGATGGAACTGTGAAAAAGGAAACCACACATGGTGTCCCTTAGGTTAGGTATTAGGTCTTGGTTGGTGGACTTGGGGCCTTAACCTAGCTGCAGTTTCAGCAGTCACCAGTCTACAGAGGACTTTCCTGGTCCGCACTAGATTTGCTGCTCGACCCCTGCTGTTCCCCTCCGGAGCGCCACCTTGCCTAAAACAATGGGTTCTTTGCTAATAATCCCCTTGTCCCCCACTCCCTATCTTTAAAAACTTTTCCTTTTCTGTAGCCCTCTGGAGGTCCCCTTTACTTGCTAAACAGAGATGCTGCCCAATTCACAAATGGATTAATAAAGCCCCTTGGATCTTTAAAATGTATTCGGTTGAATTTTTGTTATTTAACAGAATTAAATGCCCCGCATGGGGCAGCACCATAGGGTGATTCCCAGGAGACCAACAGATGCCCTGCAGATGGCCTCCAACTTTAACCCCCTACTCTGCGGCCATGCCTTTTCCTTCTACCTTTACCGGGGCAACCACAGGTTCAGTGGCAAGTCGCCCTGGCCCCACGTCGCTCTGGTGCTTATTAGCACATCCTGCTGCCTGTAGATGGACAACACTCACCAAATGTTAGAGTAAGGGACACACACCAAATATTGCCTGCAAATTAAACAGATAAATCAGAATCTTCTCCTTTTGGATCAATTCTCCTGGCTCTCTACAGCTAAATGGGCAGACTGGCTGAAAAAAAAGTTTTGAAATCCTAGTTTTTGACTTTATAGGATTCTGGATCGTAAGGATGCTTTATCACTGGCTCCAGAAACAGGCATGAGACCCATTACCTCAAAAGCCAACTGGTGCCAAATTCAAATTTTAACACATTATTTTTGAAATGGCCCAAATAAGCAGAGTTTTAGCCAGCTAGAGCCTGTCTGCTTTTCATATCCCCACTGAAACCTTACCTAACAGCTCCTACCCACTGCTAAGCCAGAGCCCTATGGCTGTAAGCCCCAGGCTGCTGCAGTCATCTGGGGCTATTTGACCCAGAGCCTCCCCACCCCACACGCACACCTAGGCACAGAAGTCCCCTGCTCCCATCTCCTTCTCCTCTCTCCCAGCCAGAGTACCCTTGCCATCGTCCCATCCTGGATGGCGGCCCCTGCACCACAAGCTTCCAGACAGTCTCATGAGAGGAGGACCTTCCCCTTCACGCAACACCCTCCAAGCACCTCTCAGTAAAGTTTGTGTGTGTAACTGCCTCTTGTTCTTTTCCCTTGATGAGCCCCCACATCCTTTGAGGCCTTACAGACCTACATCCTAAATATATAAAAGAACTCTTAAAACTCAACAAGATAAACCACCCAATTAAAAATGGGCAAAAGACTTGAATAGCTACCTCACCAAAGAGGATACACAAGAGGCAAACAAGTTCATGAAAAGGCGCTCAACATCACTAGTCATCAAAGGAATCTAAATTAAAACTGCAGTGAGAGAATAGTGTACACCTATTAGATTGGAGGGGGCAGCTGGGGAGATGGACAATGCCAAGAGCTAGAGGATGGGGAGCAACCAGAACTCAATGACACTGCTGGCGGAAACGCAAAATGCTATGGCCATTTTTGTAAAGAGTTGGGCAATTTCTTATGAAATAAAACATGCACTTAGCATATCACCCAGCAATCCCACTTCTAAGTATTTACCCAAGAGAAATGAAAACTTCTGATCACACAAAAGCCTGTATATAAATGCTTCTAGCAACTTTATTCATAATCACCCCAAACTGGAAACAACCCAAATGTCCTTCAACTGGTGAAAAGATCTACTCGGGTGAATCCATACAATGAGATACTACCCAGCAATAAATGTAAATCAACTGCCGATGCGCACAAATCTCTCAGACATCAGCCTTAGCAACATTTTTCTAGATCTGTTTCCTCAGGCCAGGGAAACAAAAGCAAAAATAAATAACTGAGGCTACCTCAAACTAAAAAGCTTTTGCACAGTGAAGAAAACTATCAACAAAATAAAAAGGTGGCTCAGATGGTTAAGCGTCTGCCTTCGGCTCAGGTCGTGATCCCAGGGTCCTGGGATCGAGTCCCGCATCGGGCTCCCTGCTCCTTGGGAGCCTGCTTCTCCCTCTGCTTCTCTGTCTCTCTCCCTCTCTCTCTCTGTCTCTCATGAATAAATAAATAAAATCTTTAAAAAAAAAATAAATCTTTAAAAAAAGGCAACCTACCAAGTGAGAGAAGATGCTTGCAAATGATATATCTGATAAGGGGTTAATATTCAAAATATTAAAATTTATAAGCTATCCAAATAATACCCAAAATAAAAAGTTCTACAACTCAACACCAAAAATGATCCAATTTAAAAAACGGTCAGAGGACCTGAATAGACATTTTTCCAAAGACACCCAGATGGCCAACAGACACATGAAAAGATGCTCAACGTCATTATTCATCAAGCAAGTGCAAATCAAAACCACAGTAAGATACCCCCTCACGCGTGTCAGAATGGCTAGAATCAAAAAGACAAGAAACAGCAAGTATTGGTGAGGATGTAAGGAAAGAGAACCCTCATGCACTGTCAGTGGGAAGGTAATCTGGAAGACAGTCTGAAGCTTCCTCAAAAAATTGGAAATAGAAATAGTATATGACCCAGTAATTCCACTTCTGGGTACTTACCTGAAGAAAACGAAAGTCCTAAATCAGAAAGATATGCACCCCTATGTTTACTGCAGCATAATTTATAATAGTCAAGACACGGAAGCAGCCTAACTGTCCATCGATGGATGAACAGATACAGATGTGGGGTGTGCGCGTGCGCACAGACACACAGACACATATACACACAGTGGATTATTAGCCATAAAATCTTGCCATTTGCAACAACGGGTGGATCTAGAGGGTATTATGCTTGGTGAAGTAAGTCAGATAAAGACAGATACTGTATGATTCCACTTACATGTGCAATCTAAAAAATGAACAAAAATGAGAAACACTCATAAACACAGAGAACAAACTGGTGGTTGCCTAATAAGGGGAAGGGGGTGGGGAGGATGGCCAAAATGGGTGAAGGGGGCACTTCCAATTATGAGTCATGGGGATGAAAAGTATGGCACAGGAAATAGTTAATAATGTTGTAACACACTTACCGTGGGGTGAGCATTTCATAATGTGTACAATTGTTGAATCACTATGGTGCACACCTGAAATTAATTTAACATGTCCACTATACTTCAATTAAAAATTTTAAAAAACTTTTTAACACAAAGATTTGAAAATCCTAAATATGACTCCCTTCAAATATAGGAACAAAACAAAACAAAACAAAAATACAGGAGAAATGGAGACAACCACGGGAGGTGAGACGGAGGGGAGCAGAGGAGAAACCAAGACTGAATGAGGTACGAGAAACAGAGAAGAACCAAGGCCTGGCAGGTCCCCCAAGAGACCCAGGGACCTGGTCCAGTGATAGAGCTGGGGACACAGGGGTGCAGGAGGTGGCACAGGGAACCTGAGCACCGCTCCCCGCCGGGCAAGGGCAGGGTCAGAGGTTGAACTTGGGCAGCATGGAGCAGCAGGAGTCCAAGGTTCCATCTGGGAGTCAGAAGCTGGTTCTAGTCCTCCTCGCTGGGTGATCTTGAGCAAGTCACTCCGTCTGGATGGATTCAACCTCCCCGCCAGGAAAAGACACCATCTGTGCCTCCCCCAGCCTAGTCCCCAACCAAAGGACAGTGCCACAGCGGCACCTCTCATTATGGGGGTAAAAGGGGGGGTGCCGGCAAGACAGAGGGCAAAGGCAGGGCCTTCCTGCATGGCCTGGAGCCTGAAGCCCATTCTGCAGGCAGGGAGACGCCAGGCAGGAACCTGGGCATGGGTCACTGGGAAACCTCTTTTAGGCTGGGCTGCCTGGGAGTCAGAGTGAGGAGGCCAGGGCAAGGGTGGTACCCCTTCCCCTTGTTGTCCTCCTCCAATAAGGTGTGGGGTGGCCTCCCAGCTTACCCCGCACCAAGGTCAGGCCCGGCTCTCTGGGCCACGGAGGGCTAGCTCGTGCCCTGCAGGCTCTCGTAGCCCTCAGGGTCTCCAGGGGCCTACCTTCTCCAGTGACACTTTTCACAAGACGCCCACATCTTACAGAACCTGAGGCCACTGTCCCAAGGTGGTCCCCAGGGCCAGGCCCTAGCCCAGTCGTGGAGCTCCAAGTCCATGGGGCTTTCCACCAGGGCATCTTTCCTCAGGGCCAGAGCTTCTGCCTGCCCCCAGTGCCACACACACACACACACACACACACTGATGAGCAACTGCTACCTTGACTCCAGGTCAGCAAGCGAGGCTGGGAGCAGGGAGGAAGGAGGTTGAAGTGCCCACACACATTTCGGTGGGTGGAAGGACACAGATGGCCTTCTGCATCCCTGGGGTGGGTCTGTGCCCTGCCCGGGCTGGATTCTTCTGCCCTGGGACAAACGCATCTTACACAGTCTGCAGCTCGAGTCTCCCTTGGGTCCCTATTTGCACACCCAGCATCACCCCCCAGCCTGCAGGGGCGAGGAGGCCAATCAGCCCTAAGGAGTTGAGGTTTCTGAGGCCCTTCAGGTGGAACGTGCGGCGCCTCC